ACGAGTCCCCCCTCCCCCCCCTGCCCCTCCCCCCATTGTGTCCCATCCCCCACCAGGTGCCCTGGCTTCTTTGCCCCCCCATTCCTGCAGGGCTGGCTGCAGCGGAGTTAGGAAGACAGATGGGGATGGGGGGGCCCTGGCGAGGGGGGGCTCACCTGCTCGAAGGGGCTTTTGTCCTGCACCCCTTTGGCCCCAACGAAGACCCAGCTGTCGCGGAAGCCGAGGTCCTTGGCCACGCTGCTGCCCAGTTCGCTGAAAATCCTCCGTGTCTCCTCATTCATCCTGGGGGCAGAGCCCATCTCAGCAGGGCCCCCACTGCACCTGGGAGCTGGTGGCTAGTATCCCGCCCCGAGCCAGCCACAACCTCTCACCCCTGGGACCAAGGCTGGTGGGAGCCGGCGGCACCCGGCCAAGACCCCCCCCCCCCTCCTCCTTCCCCCAAGCCTGGTGGAAACCAGCATCCCCCACAGGGGACAGGCCCCATCTTCCCTCCAGTTAGTCAGCCAGTCCCCAGGCCTGGTCCCAGGTCCCACCCCAGGCCAGTGGCAACTTAGTGGCTGGGTCATCGTACGAAGCCACGAACACCAGGGTCCCCTCGTGCAGCGTCCGAATAAACTTCAGCAGCTCATTGACATCTGAGGTGAAAGATGTGGGGGGTGAGTGCAGGCCTGGGTCCCCTGGTCCACCCACGTTCCTGCATCTCTCCCAGATTCACACCCACCCCTCCCAGATACCTCACCTCCAGCCCACATGTCGAAGAACTTGGCCTCAATGAGTTCCCCGTTCACCCCTGGAACCAGAGCGAGAGAGAGAATCAGAGCCCCAGGTGCTCCAAGCAACCCCCCAGCCCAGCTGCCCCCACAACTCTCCCACCACAGCCCGCTTCCCCATCCCTCCTGAACTCACCATTCACCAGGGCGATGTTCAAGCCCCGCCCCACATTGTTCTTCACGCTGCTCATTAGCCTGGAATGAAAGTGAGGTGAGAACAGCACCCCCCCCCAGTGGCTTCCTTCTCTCTGGCTTCCGAAGGGTGCCTGGTGGTTTGGGGAGGGACTGGGCGCCAGGATTCCTAGCCTGGTGGCCAGAGCTGGAGAGGCTGGGAGCCCAGACGCCTGGGCTCTCTGCCAGCTTGGGGTGGGAGCTGGTGATTAGATCAGAGCGGGGATGGGGAGTCCGGACTCCTGGGCTCTCCTCCAGTTCTTCCCTGAATTAGCAGACTGCCCCCCACACCTCCTGAGGCCCCTCCCACACTCACATTTTATCCTCCAGGCAGATCTTGGGCCCTATGACGTTGGCGGCGCCGCTGACCAAGCGGAAGGCGAGATGCCGCTCCGGGCAGGGCCGCGGGAGCCCGCACTTGTACCTCCTGGGCCGTGGCTCTGGGGGGCGGGGAGAGATGTGGGGCAGTCACCAAGCACCCTGCATGAGGACCAAGGCACCACAGCTCCCACCCAGGCTGGGGTGTCAGAGCCTTGCCATGGGGGGAGGGACCCCCGGGGAGGGCATGCAACCAAGCAGTCAAGCTGTGATTGGGGAGTGGACCTCCCTTACCCATGGGTCAGAGAAGTTCCTCCACCAGGGACACCAGGGTCCTCACCCCCATATCTGGGATTGAGCTCTCCAACCCCGTTCTCATGGGGTCCCTGCCTCCCACTGCCCTCAGGCCAGAGACTCACTGTTGTGTCTGCTTCTGGCTCCCACCCTGCCTGAGGGGGTGGCACTGGGTTGCAGGGGCAGGGCAGAGCTGCCCCATCCTGACACTGGGGACAAGAAGAGAGGGGGCTGGTGAAAGTAGCAGGGGAAGTGCCCTGGAGCCCAGCCCCCCTCTGCCCAAAATACCCTCCCACATGGCTCCGATCATAGGGGAGAGGGGAGAAGGACAATCATCACCACCAGCAGCCCTGCCAGAGTCACTGACCTGCCGTGGGCATGTTCTCGGGGCCTGTGGGAAGACAAAAAACAGCAGCGGTGACCAATGGCGCACTGTGTCCAACCCTCACCACTGCACTGAGGGTCTGGAATTTGGCCCACCTCTTACCAGCCCGTTTGTAGGCCATCCACAGGAATGGCACTGGCAGGGACAGGAGTCCAACCCAGAGAAAAATTCCCACCCCCCCCAGGTGTGGTCATCCCGTGCAGAACTATGAATCTGAGGAACTGTCCCGGATTGAAGTGTCATTAGAGGAAGTTTTGGTACAAATATAAAAACTTAATGTTAACACATCTCCGGGACCGGATGGCATTCATCCAAGGGAAATTGCTGAACTATTATCTGTGATTTGTAACCTATCCTTTAAATCGGCTTCCGTACCTAATGACTGGAAGGTAGCCAACGTGACACCAATATTTAAAAAGGGCTCTCAAGGCGATCCTGGCAATTACAGAGCGGTAAGTCTAACTTCAGGACCAGGCAAATTAGTCGAAACAATAGTAAAGAATAAAATTGTGAAGCATGTAGAAGAACATAATTTGTTGGACAAAAGTCAGCATGGTTTCTGTAAAGGGAAATCATGTCTTACTAATCTATTAGAGTTCTTTGAAGGGGTTAACAAACATGCAGATAAGGGGGATCCAGTAGATATAGTATACTTAGATTTTCAGAAAGCCTTTGACAAGGTCCTTCACAAAAGGCTCTTGTGTAAATTACATGGCCATGGGATAAGAGGAATCCTTTCTTGGATCGAGAACTGGTTAAAAGACAGGAAACAAAGGGTAGGAATAAATGGTAAATTTTCAGATTGGAGAGGGGTAACTAGTGGTGTCCCCCAAGGGTCGGTCCTGGGACCAATCCTTTTCAACTTATTCGTAAATGATCTGGAGAAAGGGGTAAGCAGTGAGGTAGTAAAGTTTGCGGATGATACCAAACTGTTTATGATAGTCAAGACAGAAGCAGACCGTGAGGGACTCCAAAAAGGTCTCACCAAACTGAGTGATTGGGCAACAAAATGGCAAATGAAATTTAACATGGATAAGTGTAAAGTAATGCAAAATACAGGACTATGTAGCACTTTAAAGACTAACAAGATGGTTTATTAGATGATGAGCTTTCGTGGGCCACACCCACTTCCTCAGATCAAATAATGGAAGAAAATAGTCACAACCATATATACTAAAGGATACAATTTAAAAAAAGAACACATATGAAAAGGACAAATCAAATTTCAGAACAGAAGGGGGATGCGCGGGGGGGGGGAGGTAAATGTCTGTGAGCTAATGATATTAGAGGTGATAATTGGGGAAGTGTAAAGTAATGTACATTGGAAAAAATAACCCCAACTATACGTATTGTATGATGGGGGCTAATTTGGCTACGACAAATCAGGAAAGAGATCTTGGAGTTATCGTGGACAGTTCTCTGAAAACTTCCACACAGTGTGCAGCGGCGGTCAAAAAGGCAAATAG